AACCAAGCCCGCGTCCCGGTGGAGAGTCGCGAGACTCTTTCTTACCTCTGCTGCTGACGCCGCCCACGACATTTGCGGTAAAAAGTGCACGTCGAGGCGTTGTAAACTTGGGACTACGTGTTTTGTTAGCATCAAGACTTACACACGGGGGACAGGACGGCACGAACCTCGCCTCGTTATCAAGCCGGAAGTTCTGGGAAAGATCAGCAGCCAAGCTCCCAGCAGGAGAAGAGCCCCGGACTTTGCCGTCGAGGTATTCCCCTGTGCCCTTGGCAAGCTGCTCCCGAAGACTGAGAGATCCCGAAGCTGAGTTGCCGGCGTAGTGGGAGCGAAATATGTCTCTGCCTCCCCATGTAGGAGCAGGGATTGGGCGGTGGATTGCCGCCAGAGGAGACGATGCTGTCATATTAGCGAGGTACCGGCGAGGAGGACTAGCCGACTGCTAAGCTCTCAGGTCGACAGCTCAAGACAGCAGCGTTGCTACTTGAATATATAGTAGCCCGAGACGCGTAGGAAAGAGTAATGGACTAGAGTAGAGTAACTAAAGGCTTCCACGTTCTAGCTCGGCCCAGAAATGGCTCCTCACTATCACCGCACAAGCCCAAGCAATCTTGCTCCCTTTCTCGCGTTTTTTCTTCTTCTTCTTCCTCTTCCTCTTCTTTGTTCAAAGGCTGCGTATGCAGGAGACTGTTTCGGCAATTGGAATTGGACTTCTTTTCGGTTTTCTTTGTTTGTTCTTGTCCACCTCGTTGCTACTCAGAGGCATGAAGCGAGACTTGCTGTGGGGCGGAAGGGCTTTTTTCGTAAATTGGATTTCGTGATGGTCGTGTATCGTACTAACACCAACGCATGCAAAAGGAACAAAGATTTTTCTCGTAACGTCGTTGCGTCAATGGCGGATTCTTTGTCCTTGAACCAGGTCCGTTTTCGTATCGGACAGCTCGAGGATCAAACAAGGGAATGGCCGTCGTTGGCTGTGCGAGCATCCAGCAACGGGTGCAGTGCAGCTCGAGCCCTGCAACAACCGGAGTCGCTGGTTTAAGCTCCAGAGCTAGCGAGGACGTCGTTTCGCTTGTCCGCGTGCTGGATTCGCGAACGAGGAGCCCTTTTGTCCGGTTGTCGGTACTTTGTGGGTGTGAGGGCAAGAGGAGCGAGGAATGGATGAGGAGACAAGGCCTTTTGAATGGTCGTTGTACCAACGAGCCGGGTTGGGATGGAGGTGGACGTTGTTAGGGGTGATTGGGGGTTTTGGGTCTGCTGTGGTGTACCTCGTCCAGCGCGGAGGTACCTGCTACACCAGCGCCCAGCGCACCAGTTGCAGCGTCAGCACCGCTGCTCAGCTGCCCTGAGCTACGCCGTTGCAGTTAGCCTGCGGTTTAGGGGAGCACGCCCTGGTAACAGTCCGCCGATTCAGCGCCCTTTGTCGCGAGTGGTTGCTCAGTGAGCGGTGGGGCGCTGCGTGCTCAGTGAGCGCTTAGCAGCCTGGAGCTCCATGTAACCGCGGGTACCTGCTACTTGCACCTCCGCTGAGAGCAAGGGCCGGGCGTTTTACCTGGTTCCGTCTGGCAATGCAAGATGTTGATTTGATTTGATTTGATTTGATTCGATACGGTTTGACACGATACAGTATTCGGTGGTACCCAGAACCCTGCTTGTGCTCCAAAGGCATGAGCTACTAAGTATTTACGGTACAGGTACGTCCCGTCCTCTGTGTAAGTCCAAGCGGCGGTGAGGTGCCGTTACGGAGCACCCAACGTGAGCCTCATTAGACCGGACTCCAGGTCATTTTAACAGCCTGCAGGGCTCCCGGATCATTTCAGGTCTTTCGAGCGAGCGAGCTATGGCGGAGGTCCATCCAGGGATAGTCGAATTGTTTTTTGGGCCGTGAGGATTGAGACACGCAGGGCAGAGACGCGAGATTGAACACTGGGCTTCATGTTGCCTGAACCGGCCACCGAGCTGTGCAATTGCGCTGACAGCAGCACCGCGTCGTACAGTACAGCACTCGTAGCAATACTAGGTAGCAGCAGGCATGCAGAAAGGGCAGCTCTGGATAGGAAATGTCATGTGGTTTCGACATTTCCACGGATCCATCATTGTCTCTACTGGGGCCCTGTACAGATGTTTGCTGTCAGAGGTACAGGTACAGGTACATTCATGTATGCTCCGCATCGCTGGTACAACACCAGGCACTCTCGCAGGCAGCCTTGCACAATTTACGGAGAAAACAGGCATTTTGATGGAGCCCAGCTGCAGAACATCAAGCTACCTACCGTATCGTCAAGCTACAGTACAAATCGGTATGGCCTAGACACCGAGATGCAAATGCGCAAGCTGCTCCTTGGCTCTCGTGTTCAGCATCCAATTTCGTGGATCGTCAATGTCTCAGTGTTTTCTTCAATACCGTTCACTCAACAGACGCGGCGCGAACATACCGGCCCTTGCGGCTTTCGGCCAACAGCGCCGACTTCCATACTACTCGGGTACTTTCCATTGGACTGCCATTGGGACATTTGATGCCTTTGTGCTTTTTGTAAGTAGGTGCCTCTACTTTACGTGCCAATGGCCTGTGCGTGTGCTTGCGAGATCAATTGACTTTTACTTGGGCTTTGTTCGTACCATGGCCAACGACAGAATACAGTACAAAGGATTGGCTCAACTGCGGGCGTCGGACGCGATGTGCTGACTGGCTCTCACACATGTCAGAGCCCGAATGTACCGATCCGGCCTTTTCTTTCACGCCGCAAACATCATATCCTAGAAAGGAGAGACATTGGCCCGCCACCGCCCTACAGGTACATTTGCGAGCACAGGGCACGACTGTTTGCACTCGGCCGCTGATCCTGTCTCGCTCTGGTTGAGTCAAGTAATACGCATCGGGTGTTCAGTCTCCCTGGCAATGTACTCTTACTTGCGGGCCAACCCGCTCGTGCGGTGCCTCTTGTGAAGATCGATCCCTGCTTTCCATGCTCATCTGCCTTGACGAGAGACATGCAGATTCTATACGAGGAACGGAGCGTTTCGGGCTAACATGAGCTAGCGAGTCACCCTGAAGAGCCGGGAGTAACCAAGTACGCGATTCTTTCAAGGTTCACCGACCAAGTTTTAGCCCCGGCTTTGTTTTTGCTTCTTCTTTTCAAGCCGACTGACCCATCGAATGAAGTTGAAAGGACAAAGAACTGATGCAATGACCACCCTAGAAGCTGGGTCCTCGCAGGGGCACCCTCATCGGCGATGGCAGGCAGCATGGTGGTTACTTTGTTCGGAGCCCAGTGAGAGCCATTTTATGCCCTCCAAGTTAAGATCTACATGAAATACGACGGCACGACCTCGAAGCTTCATCGTCAATTACGAACCATTCCAGCATCGTCGATTTAGCCGACACCGTCGATTTCGTCACTGAAGCTATCGCCAGCACATAAAATGGCAAACGTCATAGTTTATATCCATAGACGACACTTTGCCTATCAGTTAGCCTGCTGCGGCGATGATTTACAGGCACAAAACACCAAGCTCTTCCTGTGCACAAAAAGTGACAGGGCTCATCTCTCCGCTTAATCCTAGCGTACTGTAGTACAAGTAGCTCAGTGTCTTAGGTAACAGCTTGGCGGCGAGAGCACAAAAGTCATAAACTCGGCTGAGCAGACGCACGCGATCAATGTGCCGCGCAACAACTGGCAAAGGCGGTTCTTCATCAACGTCCCATATAACAACCTTCTTTTCTTCCCATCAGATAACTTAAAACCGCAGCCACAGTGAGCGATGTATACGAGTATGTACGTAAAAGAGAGAGATTGAAAAAGGCAAAAGCTGCATGACAACTGCCCCACTGCCGGCTGTACCGGGGTAGAAGCCCTTGTTTACTTGTAATTTTGCCCTGTCCATGGCGTTTCTGATGACGAGCATCATCGAGTCGTAAGCATTGCCGTCAGTTGCCATTGGAAGCTCCATTGCCCTGCCCAACCATGTCTTTGCCGACGCCTAGAATCTCGCTCTCAGCTGACGGCTATGCTCGCAAATCCCTCGACGATTCCCGAAGAGGGCAAGACCGAGAGACTATGCCTCCGCCTTGCAAGGGAAGAAAAGAGCTATTCGATCCTTGTGAGAGCTTGTCGTCCTGTCGTCTGGTGAAGGAGCATGATGGCGTAGCAGTGGATGCGACGTGATGTTACTTTATGCAAGAAAACTGTTTCAGAATCCGCATTGGCCCGAGGACGACGCCCAAGGCTCCATCACGAAGAGGGGAAGCTGCCAAGGCACATGCAATTGGAGCATGAGAAAAAAACACACGACGTCAGTGCACGCCCGAAAGTAAACAAAGCCAGCGCGTCGGTTGCTCTACCCCGCAATCTGCCCGGCAACCAGGGTGTCTGAGCCGCGAAGTCACGTGTGCACCTTGCTGCTACTATTTCGTGTGTATCCTAGGTTAGGTAAAGGGTTCTCTATAAGTAAAAGCTGTTTGGTTGTTGCTCTCACAATACCAAGCTGTACAGTATGGCAAGTTATTGGTATTGAGTATTTGTATGATGGGTGTCGGTACACGATGTCATGCTTCAACGGGCAGTGTATCCAGCTGCTGCACAATGTATTATTAGGCGCGTCAGATACTATACTACAGTACTACGGCACTAGGTCACTAGCAAAACTCCAAGGAGTAGATTGGGTACGTATACATTGTTCGATACTGGTGATGAGATTCTTTCCGACTCTTTAGCCAACTACCAACTCTCAATTTTCACAATTCTCTTCGCAACGCGACTTCGTTTACATGCAGACATGGATATTTCAAAGTCTGTGAAGCTCGCTCCCAGAATAGGTAGTAACATGTGAATGTGTAATGCGGAGAAAGATGGGGCTAGCCATGTGGGGCGATTGGAGCGGTGAAAAGAGGCAGAATCTTTTTATCGTGGAATTTTCTAATCTACTATGAAGATAATGGTAGCAGTCGCATATAGAACGACCTATTAACATTGTACCTTTTCACTTTATTCTAATTCATCATGGGCAGCAAAAGAAAGCGCGGAGCCAAGGAGGCTCCCATTGCGACCCCAAATGCACAAAAAAAGGCCAAGAATGTCGCCTCCCCCATCGTTCCTGTTGTCGCAGCCGCAAAGCCACCATTGGAAAAAGCTCCCTTTGTCGAAACTCCCACAATCGAAGAAAGGAAACGCGAGGGCCTACTATACGAACACCTTGGCAGCGAGGATGATAACGACCGGATCGAGGCCGCTGATTGTATCATATCCGGCCTTCTTGATGGCGAGGGCGTTGCCGAAGCAGTGCTGCAAAGACACCTCGACCGACGGCTCTTCCGCGGACTTGCCAGTGGCCGCAATGCTTCGCGCATTGGCTTCAGTCTGGTCATTACCGAGATCCTCAGTCAGCTGTTTGGAGATAAGGAGCCGAGCCTGGCAGAGAAATATAGCGGATTGACATTTGATAAGGTGCTGGGTTTCCTGCTGGAAAAGGCCCAGATTGTCGGTAACATTCCCGGCCAGGAAGAACGCGACATCTTCTTCGGCCAATTATTCGGTATCGAATGCTTTGTCAAGTCTCGTACCTTATTTTCGGACCCTTCGAGATGGAACACAATACTGGAGGAGCTGTTGAAGCTGAGCAACAAGAAAGTCTGGCTCAAGTCGCAATGTGGATGGGTTCTCGTCCAGGCATTACAGCAAATGAACCAAGCGCAGGCCAAAGCTACACTTGAGAAACTCTCAAATGCCGGAGTGGCCAAGACTCCCGAAGGAGTTGCCGTCTGGCTGGTTGCGCTCAACCAGTTCCCGGATCTCAAAGTCAAACCTTGGCAGCATCCTCTCTCAAGGAAGACCCTCGGTGACTTGACTGCTATCTTGAAGGAAAGCTTCAATGACTCCAGCAAAGATCCTTCCAGTAACTCTCGAAACAACCAACAAGCCTCTTGGACAGCTCAACTGCATTTTGTTTGGGATCTCATCCTCAACCACTATCTCAAGGCCGGAGACTCTGAAGTGGAAGATTTTGCTCATTTCTGGGGCCGAGTTGTCGACGGTAAGAGGGTACTTACACACGATTTATACACGCGGATGCTAATTAACTGTTAGATGGGTTATTCTCCAAGCAGGCTACTGACGGTCAAAAATTCAAGGGCTTCACTGTTTTCCAAAAATTCCTCGAGGGTTGCGTGGTGCATCACTCGCTACTACAAATTCTCTTCAGCAAGAACCTCATGACCTCACTTATGAACCAAGCCGCAAAGGAAGATCGGTATCTGCATCGGGCAGCTATAAAAACATTAAAGGCCATCGAGGGTGCAGTGTCCTCCTACCCCAGTGCCCTGGTTCCCGTTCTCGAGAGTCTCTTGAGCAGGAATGGAGCGTATAACTTTGATCAACGAACCAGCACAAAAACGGTCGACAAGTTACTGCAGAGTTTTAGCCTGGAAAACGACAAGGGAACTCTGAAGATTATACAAGCTCCCATCGCCAGTCTCTCACAGCAGGAAGTCTTGGAGGCCCAGACCATTCTAAGAGTTCACATCGATTACTTGTCCAAAGTCCTCGGCGCCTGTGCTTCGCTCAACACGAAGGAATCTCAGACCAATAAGCTGGAGGGCACCTCACTTAGTGTTACACTGCAACAGCTATCACGCCTTGCTTATTCTCAGCCAGACGACATTCCAAAGGATGCCTTGACAGAGCAGATCCAAGAGCTTGCTCGGACTCGATTGGAGTCGGCGCTTGCGAAGCTGACCCGCCAGACGTCTGACTTTGTCACCTTCTGTCAAGCAGTCGCATCTATCGACTCAAGCGCAGTGACTATGTCTGAGGAAATCAAGGCAGCCATCGAAGGCGCACTGTCAAGAATGCAGAAGCTCCTAAAGCAGAAGACAAAGACCGACAACGACAAGACGTTGACTCAAGGATTGGCAATGCTTCATGCTATTTCAATTTTCCAGCTGTATAACCAAGATCCTGATGCAATGGAAGTACTGGACGATCTGGCACAGTTCCACGAGAGGCTTCAAGAGGGCAAACTCGGCGACGACGACACCGGTAGCTCAGAGTTTCTGGTGGAGATATTACTGTCCATGGTGGCTCGCCCTTCCTCATTAATGCGACAGGTATCCCAGCAAGTTTTTGAGGCTTTTACTTCACAGATTTCGGCTGGTGGTCTGGAGCTGTTGACTGGACCCCTGGGAACCAACGAGAGCACCAGGGGCCAAAAGGAGCTCTTCAACACGGAAGATGAGGGCATGGACGTCGACGGAGAGGATTCCGACGACGACGAAGATGATGACGTGGAGGAAATCTCAAACGTTGACATTGACTCTGACGTTGAGTTCATTGGTCTCGCCGACGGTGAAGAAGCCGACGGCGACGCAGAAGAAGATGGCGAAGAAGATGAAGAAGAGGACGACGAAGATTCCGACAATGACGATGAGGAAGACGAAGACGACGACGAGGAAGCTGACGAGAAAGAAGGTCCCATAGACCTCGACGAGCTCATGGGCAAGATCCTTAAAAGCCACCGCCTCGACAAGGACGCCGACGCCGAGTCCTCCGAGGACGAGGGCGACATGTCCGACTCGCAAATGTTCGCCCTCGAGGACAAGCTCGCCGAGGTCTTCAAGCAGCGCGCAAAGGCCCGCCCGGACAGCAAGAAGCAGAAAAAGGACGCCAAGCAGTCCGTCGTCAACTTCAAGCACCGCATCCTCGACTTCCTCGACATCTACGTCCGCAACGAGGTCCTCAGCCCCCTCGCCTTTGCCGTCCTCATCCCGCTGCTTGGCCTCATGCGCACCACTTCTACTAAGACGCTTGCGAATCGCGCGTGCGAAATCATCCTGAATTACCAGCGGGGCATGAAGAAGGCAAGGAGCGCGGCGGCGGCGGCGGAGGCTACGACGGCACCAACCTACGATGCCGAGGAGCTGCTCTCCGTGTTAGTCGAGGTCCACGAAGAAGCAGGCAAGGACAACGCGCACGCATACGCAAAGGCCGCCAGCGCCGCCAGTCTGATTGTGGCCTCGGCCATGTTCGCCTCGGACAAAGAGCTGGTGAAGCGGGCGGCGGCCGTGTATGCAAAGACGCAGTCGGACTGGGTTCTGGGCCAGGCCAAGCTGCAAAACTCCTTCTTTGCGGATTGGAACAACTGGTGCCAGAACCACGCGTCTCAGGGGCGGAATTGATACCCATGTAAATTAGACTTGAACCGGGAAAAAAATTTGGGATAGAGCTGCGCATTACGATTGGTTAAAGAGCAAAAATAAAAAGAAATAAAAGAAAGCAAGGCACGTGTGAGTGAGAGAGAGACGATGATTTTGTGTCTCGTTTCGGATATCTCATCCAGAGGAAGCATTACTCTATGAGCCCTCTTGTCGTGAATAATACATTGTGACCCGGACACCCAAAAGAATTAAAACTCCTTTATTTAGTCTTCCATCTTGTCATCATCCTTCTTTTCTTCCTCTTCCTCGTCGTCAGACTCGTCCTCGGCCCGCGCTAACCTCTCTGCCTCCTCTCTCAACTCCTTGGGAACCTCGACATGCCGTCCCTTAGTAGGGCCGTCGACTGTGCTGATCCAGGTCATCTCCAGCTCAAACTCCTTGTCCTTGTTGTCCTTGTGGGCAATGTAGATGATCCTCGCGGCCTGCTTGACGGCCTCGAGCAGGGTAATGTTTCCGGCCGGCAGATCCAGCTTCTCCAGCTCGGCCTTGGCAGCTTGCCTGCCCTTGCCCGTCGCCGCTCCGTAGTATCCCCAGTACAGGCCGCTGGGCTCGATCATGTAGAGGAAAGGACCGCCGTGCTTGCCGGGCACCTTGCCACCGGCACCGACCGCAGGCCCTGAACCGACCTCGCCGTCTACGGGAGTCTCTTCTGAGGTGTCGACGCCGCCAACGATGGCCGTAATGCCGAACGGACGCACGGAGCCGTACATGGTGTATGCCTGGAGGTAGCCGCCCATGCGGGAGGCAAGGTCGGCTGTGGGGATGGGGGTCTTGAAGTTCTGGCGCCAGCTCTGAGCTTCGTCTCGAGCACGGTCGACGAAGTGGCGGCCATCGGGGATCATGCCTGAGTATACCTGGGACTCTTGTGAGCATTGCGGCATCATAGATTGGAACAAGGGGGCCAATCGCGGGGTGTACGTACTGCGCCGACATGGCTGTCAATGCTGGCAATTCGCTTGTTTGCACCCGGCTTCTGCAGCTTCGATGCGACAATCTTCTCCACTGCCAGGACAACGCCGTCCTTGCACCGGATGCCGATTGAGGTGCCGCCGTTTTCTACCGCCTTGACGGCATATTCGACCTGGAAGTTTCGTCCATCGGGAGAGAAGATGGAGTTGAGGAGATCGTAACCCGTGCCGATCGACGTCTATTCAAAAGTGGCATGTCCCCCGTTAGCTTCTCAGAGCTGCAAGTTGCATAGCGCCGCAGCAATGCCCAGCGGTTGGAGACTTTACCATGATTGCCCCGAAGCTCTGCTATACGATGTTGGCCACAAAAAAAAAGATGGAGGATGTCGTCGAGATTCGGAATGGTGGAGGGGTTCAGAGTCGAGATGGTCGGTTTGGCGGGCTTTGGCTTGGAGCTCCAGCCAGGCAGCCTGAGAGCTGCGTAGTTGCAATCGCCCGCACAAGGCTGGACGCGCTGGTGCCTGAGGCGCAAAGAAGCTGAACAAGGCTGAGCCACAGGGGGGGGGAGAGAGAGAGAAAGAGAGTCAAGCCACACCAGATGCTCAAGCCACAGGACGACTGTTTTGCGGTAGCTCGACGTCGGGGTTAGCTTTGCTTAGCTAAGGTGAGCTCGTGGCTATGACGGGAGTGGCTTGATCTCATCCCGCAAATGACACCGCCACACCTGACGTTCCCACCTGGCTGGGACGATCCCTGCATATTGGTATCGATGAGATCAGTTAGTGGTGACCGTGGATGACGCTACCTACAATACCTATTATCAGAGGACGATTCGCAAAGAATGTGTTGATGGGAAAGAGATACTTGATAGAGAAAAGGAAAATAAATCTAGTAGAGAGAAGCAGATATACTAGGTACTATACACATAGATCTATAGTAGTAGATATACGGACAAGTAGATGGAGGAATACTACTAGGGAAATATCCGTTCTTTGCCTACCTGTCCGGTTACGAAGAGGTAATTTGGGACCCGCTTCTTTTTGTCTCCCATTTAGCTCGGAACTTATGCTTTCGATTCTGTGATTACGACGGACGGATGACTTAGTACCTACGTAGTGACGAGCATCAAGAGACTAAACATACAGTGTCAACTTTGTAAAATCCAAGAGATTACGCTCCGGTAATCTCGTCGTCTGGAGTCCAGATTCATGTCCAGCCGGTCGTTTGTCATGGCTCGTATTTTGCATCTCGCAAAGCGCGGGATGAACGTGGGAGCTGACACATGGGGGGACACACTCTGGGGTTGGGAGTGTTGGATGCATGCAACCTTGTTCAACGACGCACATTTGGCTATATCTCTAGTTGGAACCCACGCTGCCCGTCAGGCGAGGTGAGGTGATGAGCGATAAAAGGGGGGTGTTTTGTTTTGCTCCGGCTTTTGCCACCGGTTTTGCATGGTCATTAAACGGGCATTCATCTTACCTTAGTGTTGATATAGCACTCCCTTATTGCTCATAAACTGGCTGGAATTTAGCACGGATGAAACATCAATAAGCCACCGGCGCCAGCACCAGCACCAGCACCAGCGCCAGTGCTCGTCTGTCTATGTACCTGATGGTGATCGCCAACAATACCATCCCGCCCGGTACCCAATACTCGCCTCCCGCAGCGCATGATTGCATTTATTGGGCTCCTGGCAGGTCCTTCCACCTGCCACTCTGGTACCTGGAAGCTCCAGGCCAATGTCCCTCGGCTGGCCAATGCCTAAACGAGGCCCAAAGCGCCTGCGTCACAGCCACTGAACGTGCCCGTCTGGACCTTCCTCATGACCCGGGCCCCTCTCTCCTTCCCGTTGAACGGCGCTATCCACAATCCACACATTTCATCACACAACCTGAAATCAAATCAGTGACACATGGTGACCTTAACCCCAACATTTCATTTCTCACCCGACATACTCGTACATCATGGACATGCCTTCTCCATGCCTCAGGCTGAGTATTTATACTTGACAAACACCAGACGGGCTTCTTCTTGTTCTTCTCTCTTGCATCTTTCAACTCTTCTCTTTGCTGAGCTGCTGCTTCACACTGGCTGCATCTTGTTGTATACCTATCTTCCATCTTGCTTGCTTCTACCCCGCCGGTTCCAGCATCTTCTCGTGCTTCTCGCTTCGGCCTCTTCCTGCACCGGCTTCTGCACCGGCTCGGCTGGCCTCCACTCCTCCAATTTGAAACAATCACCGCCGTTCGCTCGCATCCCGCCGATAGTTTCCGCTAGAGGCGCTGAGTTGTCTCTGACCCGTCGCCTGTTCTTGCGACCCTGCAGCCCAATATCCTGCTAGCACGCTGTAGTATCCGCTTCTAGGCACGAACGAACCTGCAGCCGCCCGGCCAGGAATTGCAAAAAAAAGGAGTCCAAGGAACCTTTCTTGTTCCTCACTTCCTCCTGACCTTTCGCCTTGCTACTTTTAAAAACCCTTTGCGACTTGACACCTCGCCTTGACATTATCCTAGTGTAGTGCAATAGAACAAGCCAAGTTTCTTCCTCTTGCAGCCTCTTGCTTGCCGTCACACCCCGAGCGTGTGTTCGTTCTTGTCTCTTTGATACCCAACCTAAAGCCATCGCTCCCCAATCGGAGGGATTTTACACAACCCGGAGCAATATAACGCTGCAGCATCTCGTTGGACAGTTTAACTGGAACACCAGCAGGTATCTCCAAGTCGCTTTCTTTGTACTGCATCTTTCATTGAAGCATCGTCGAGACAGTCACCAGGTACTCACCCAGTACCAAGTATTGCTGTACTACTATACCTTAGCCGTCACTATCGTGTACTTGAATGCATGCACATACCTACATCCACCCACATACACCCTCTCATCTTCCGGGACCCTGACGCTAACTCTTTCTCTTGCAGCACAATGGTATCACTGCAGGCCAACATGCAGGTCCATGATGACCTTGCAGCGCTCTTCTCACGGAACATGACCTTTAACCCGGAGGCGGTTCCCAAGGAGATGCCCCAGGAAATGGTCGTTTCTGAACAGATGAACCGGCCGATTGTCTATGCTATATCACAGCACTACAACCACTCCGCTCACATCGCCAAACCCCAACTCCAAACCCAAGACTCGCAGAGGCACTCATCGGAGCCACCACAGAGCAACGTCGTTTCATCCGAGACGATATTACGAACTCATGGCGTTGATCCAGTCACGCTGACGCCCTCGCAACTGCAGCTCTTCCGCATAGCCGATGCTGCTCAACGGAGAAGGCTAGTTGAGCTATGGAGCATCTGCCCTCCGAGCAGCGGCGGAGATATACCAGCTCTTGCTTGGAGCAGCACGACGATGGAGCAGGAGGAGCACCTGGCTGAGCTGCGTTATCAGCAACAACAGCACAACCATGTCATGAGCCTGGATGGCACAACCGTCCAGACCTCAAACAGTACGTGGGTTCACCAGGCTAGCCAGGAGAGCGAGCCGTACATGATGTCTGGATATGAGGAGATTATGCGACGAGAGCGGGAGCGTGAGGAGGCCAACTCTCGTCCAAAGGATGCTTATAGCCACTTTGGCACGTCTGTCGGCGGCCCAAGCTATAACCCTTCTACGGACCCCGTCTATCTTGGCGCTGACTATGCTCGACACCAACTACAGATGGCTTTGGCAGAGCAGTATGGCTCTTTTGAACAACACCGGGGGAATCAGGCTGTGGACGTTATGGACATGTAATGTATAACAACATACAATATAGCAAAAACGCCGTCACGGCCCAGCCCGTGGTAACAGGCGCGGTTAGATAGCAGCGCAGGCTAGCTCTGGAGGATTCTTATCGTTTGTCGGATTGGTATGGATGGCTGAGTTTAGGCTTTTAACAAGTTTTGTTCTTTTGTATGAACAAGGGGAGGAGATGTACTTTGGAAGGGCGGCCGGTCTTGGGGTACTTTTCGAGTTTATGTTTCAAACTCTTTCTCTCCTGTTTCCCCCCCAAAACTCTTCTTTGTTTCAACTTCTCTTACCCACTAACCCCCCCTTAATCCCCCCTATATACCCCTTTTCTTGTGATGATCGCAGTGAGGGCTAACGGCTTTTTCTACAGAGGGTCATGGTGAATGTTGTGGCGTGAATCGAGGTATGTATCCTTCCCCCTTATTCCCTCTACTCCCATGTGTAGAAGTCTGGGAACCCAATGATGGCTATGCAAGTCGGACGTAGAACAACCATTCAAGCATATACTGTCAATATACCAATTTTCTAATTTCATGAACTTTTTAATTTTAAAATTGTGAATGTGATTTTTTTTTGTGTAGCACTTCATGGGTACTAGATACCTACGATGGGGCTTGTAATGGGTGTAGAGGACAGATCAAGGGAACTTTCATCTTTGATGGATTACTTTACATATGTATGAGACATGAAAACTACCGAGTTCTAAAAGGGTATCGATTTTTTCATTGAGTAGTGGATAGAGGAAGACGGGTGTGGAAGAGTGGGAAGAGCGGGAGTGTATGTGTGTATGTGTGTAAGTGTAGTGTGTGTGTATGTGAAATGTCTAACAAAACCAACTCGTGAAAAAAAGAAGCAGGAAAAAAAAGAGAGGGGGAGAGGGGAGGAATTTCAACGTTAGAGCTGAGTGTTTTCCAACTTCTTTGCGAGGTCGTCCACATCATCGTCCTGGCGCTGGGCTATGGGCTGCTTCTGGGCCTCCTCGGCGTCCTTGATGAACTTCTCGGCCTTTTCCTTGACTTGCTCCTCCTCCTCCTCCTCTTCGCTTTCCTCCTCCAAGTCAGAGTCCTCCTCGAGGTCGCTCAGGCTGTCAACACCCCACTCATCCTCAATGATGATGTCGCCGGCATATTGCTCCTTCCGCTCCTCTAAGAGCTCCTGCAAGATGGTAATGGCATCCTCGTCTTCGGTGAACTTATTGCCGTTGAGCTCGATTCGTTTCAGAGCCGGGAGCGCAGCCTTGGTAGCGTTGGCCAAAGCCCTGACACCATCAGCCTTGATCTCGTTGTACTGCAGACGCAGAGTCTCCAGCTTCTTGTTCTTGCTCTTTAACAAGGACTCAGCAAGCAGCCGAGCGCCCTCGTCACTCAGCAAAGAGTCGCCAACTCCAAGCTCTCGGATATCCTCCCAGTTCGAAACGACTTTGGCGAGGGCCTCAGCTCCCGTGATGGTGAAAGTGTTGTCCTGCAGGTCCAGGATTCGGAGCTGGCTGGCGGTGTTGAGACCTTCGCTGAGCAGACGGGAGATGCCCTCCTGTCGGATTCCGTTCTGCACCATCTTGATCTCCTGGATCTTGTTATGAAGGCTATAGGCCTTGGCCCAGGCCGCCATGCTGCCGCTTTCGAGTCGATTCCGGCCGCAGATGACAGTCTCGAGGTCGGGCACCTGCTTGCCCTCCTTGCGAGCCGCCTCCTTCTTGGCGTGGAGTTCTGAGAGCGCATCGGCGACAAGGATACCGGCGTGAGGGCCGAGGCCGTTGTTGTTGAGGTAGAGGTGCTGCAGGGGCACGTGGGCGGAGAGGAAAGCAACGAGCGGGGCCTGGGTGTTGAGACCGAAGGCGTTGTCGTTGAGGTTGACGGTGGTGAGGTGGGGATGGTTCAGGATAGCGGTGAGAATGGCAGAGATGCCGGCGGGAATCTCGTTGAGCAATCGGCCGGTGAAGAGGTCGGCGAAGTTTGCGGACTGTGGTTTGTTGCCGTGTTAGCAACTGCCGTCGTTTTTCTCCTGTTCCAAGGAGGGGCATCTCGGGACGCTGCATACCTTGAGGCTCTTCTTGGTGGCCAGGACCTCACCAAGGCGCTCGCACGCACCGACGCCCAGCGTGTTCCCCAGGAATCGGACCTCCTCGACGTCCTCGAGCGCAACCAGCGCAGCAATGTGAGGCTCGATGTCCTGGGCGGTGTCGAGCTTGAGCCCCTTGCCCTCAAGGGAGAAGATCTTGGACGAGGCCATTTTGCAGGCGAGCGGAAATGCGGAAAGCTAATGCGTATGATGATGATGTCTAGCAGATAAAAAAGAAGAGAAACGGCGGGAGGCGCGCGAAGCAAATCAGGAGCGGCTTTGTGGGGAGGCTGCGAGCCCTGTGGGAGATTTTTTTGGGTGAGGGTGAGGCTTCGCTTTTGGGGAAGTGAAATGATTGATGGAACGAATTGTTTTGACTATGGTGGGGGCGGGGCAACGGGCGGTGCCTGGCTTCTGGTTTGCCTGGGCAACCTGCAGCGGACGAGGCTGTGGCTTCTGCGACAGTTGCGGCGGCGGCATGAGGAAATTTCAGAGGTGGTGTTACAGGGGGCTTTAGCGATCTGTGCCAGCTGCGAGACGGCTGTGAGACAGCTGGCCAGAATCTCAGTCCAGTGGGTGGCCAATCACTAACCAAGCAGTTCCAAGCAGCCCGGCGTCCCAGCTTGGGCTCCCCACCTTTTCCGAGCAACATCCCATGCGCACGTGACTTGAACCAATCAGCGTCGGCCCATTTCGGAACGATGGATTTTCTCTATCAACTTCTCCCGCTGAGCCCTTTTGGAACCCGAGATCGAGACCATCGCCCTCACTCTTTGATTGCGGCTCCCCCTGCGGCTTCGCTACAGCTTGCCAATTATGTTGGCAAGGTCGTCTCTGCGCCCGGCGCGCCTCCTCAATGGGCTTCGAAATGGCGCCGTCAACGTCTCCAAGGTGGGTGAAGATGCCACAAGCTCCCCCGAAAAGCCGTTGCCTCGAGGCATTGCCGAGGGCTGAGCAGCTGCCCTGCAACGCAAACCCTGCAGCCATTGCCGCCCGCGACGCTTCAATCGCACCGGCAGCGTGCCCAACCTGTCCGTGGAAGACCTGGAGCTGACCTTTTTTCGTCTCTTTGTAGCGTGCCGCCTCGACGAGCTCGGAAGCTCCCACCGCGCGCATGAACCTCGCCGCTATTGCTTCCACCACCCTCGCCGCCGGCTCCATGGCCTGGTACTACCATCTCTACGGACCCGTCGCTTTTGCTTCGTCCCCTGCTGAGGAGGGGTATGTGATTTTTCCCGCTGCCGAGTGCTTCGCATCAGACGCTGGCCACAAGTGCCTGATGCGGCATAAAAATGCTTCCTCTACCGATTACTGTTCAGGCGGCCAATTGCTAACGGATTTGGCTGTAGTCTCCACGCTACTCAGTACCCTTGGGTTCACCAGCAGTTCTTCAAGACTTTTGACCACCAGGCGTAAGTGAGACCCTTTTTCTTTCCCCACTGGAGAGATGGTAGCTTGAAGGGGAGCTCTACCGCTTACACCCGGGGTTTATACAGTCTCCGACGTGGTTTCCAGGTCTACCGTGAAGTCTGCGCCAGCTGCCACTCCCTGTCCCGAGTCCCCTACCGAACTCTCGTCGGTACCGTCCTGACCGTCGACGAGGCCAAGGCCCTGGCTGAGGAGAACGAATACCCCGATGAGCCCGATGAGCAGGGTGAGATCCCCATGCGACCCGGAAAGCTGGCCGACTACATTCCTCCTCCTTACAAGAACGACGAGGCTGCTCGATTTGCCAACAACGGTGCTCTTCCCCCGGATCTGAGCTTGATCGTCAAGGCCCGCCACGGTGGCTGCGACTACATCTTCAGCTTGTTGACTGGTTACCCCGAGGAGCCCCCGGCTGGTGTCCAGGTCGCCCCCGGCATGAACTTCAACCCTTACTTCCCCGGCACTGGTATTGGTATGGCTCGTGTCCTGTACGACGGCCTCGTCGAGTACGAGGATGGCACTCCCGCCAGCACCTCACAGATGGCCAAGGACGTTGTCGAGTTCCTCAACTGGGCCGCCGAGCCCGAGATGGACGACCGCAAGAAGATGGGCATGAAGGTCTTGGTTGCCACCACCGCTCTGTGGGCCATCAGCGTCTACGTGAAGCGATACAAGTGGGCTTGGCTCAAGTCCAGGAAGATTACCTACGACCCCCCTGCGGAGACCAAGATCCGCCGATAAGGGAGGTGAATTATTCCCTGTGTGTATGTGTATACTACTAGTCTCCTCCTTAGAAAAAAAAGCTCTTTTGTTGGTGGAGGCGGGTAAAACGGATGGGTTGTTTCAGACACGATGTGATGCATGTATGTTGGTGACGGGCGGTGTTGGAGCTTTGAAAGAAGAAAAAAATCAGACGCCGTTTTAATGCTACTTGTCTCTTCTCTGGTGTCTGTGGTGAAAATTGTGGTTGTTGTGAGTTTATTGCAGTATGAATAGGTATGGATATATGCTAGAATTGTGAAGGGAAACCTGACTGTAGGTTAATGAGACTTGTAGAGTAAATGGCTGGACATCTAGTAGATGAATTTATTGTGGAAGGAAGAACACCTCGTTCACTCAGACTAATTCTTTCTAACAAGACCAATACACCATAGAAATAAAGCTCCTCTGAATAATACATCTCACCTCATATGCATATTACGAATATCCATAATACTCCTCAAAATCCTACCCTTGGCTGACTAGAGATGTACTGATATTACCACCCATACCTACTAAGGTACTAAGGTAGCCAAGCGCCAGGGCCGCCGCGCGAACCTCCAATAGAATCGCCCCAACTCGTCACAACGCAGCTGAATCGTAATTCACCCGGTGATTAAGCCGGATCATCAGCTCCATGCCATCCAAAAAAACAGCCCGGGAAAAAATCGCACCTTGTTTCACAACATTCCTTTTCTTCCACCTCGGTTGTCTTTCGTCTTTTCTTCTCCCTTGTCCTCTTCGGCGAGACGGCGATAAATTCGTCACTCTCAATCGTCCAGTCCTTCGTTTTTTCTCTTCGCTTCGCGCTGCTTGCTTCCTTCTCCCACACGTCGAGCTCTGCATCCTTCGTCTCTCATTGCCTAAGCCATCTTTCGCTCCCTTGCGCCCTTGCAAGCCCATCGCCAGCAACAACGCTCAATTCGCATCCGACCATGCCCTATGTCGGCGACGATGTTCATCGTGCGACGAAGCGCAAGTGGGATCACGACGGAACCGAAACCTTTCGATTATCGCATTCTGCCATCCACGTATTGAACCAGCACGCGGTTCCAGAAGGTGCCGATGCCATCTCAACACGCAAGACGCTGCCCCCAACCAAACGATTTAGACCGATCCACGACGATGACAGTGCGCACACTTTCTCTTCGCATCGACGAACCGCTTCACGTGAGCTGGCGCAGGGCGTTCACGGCAAAGCACCTGTCAGGATTAACGGCTTGGTTCTGATGCCGTGCCATGTTTGCCACCGCAGGCCCACCAAGAAATCCGACCTCGATTCTTTTGCCAAGTGCCAATCGTGTCAAGAACAGACGTGCTTTGTCTGCATGCGCGAGTGCTACGGCCGGAAGTTTAATAAAGAGCTAGTTTTGGAAGATGAGGATGTTCTTTCGCGATCCCTTCACATGGACGATATCGACGACGAGATGACACCTCCAATACCAGAAACCAACGCGCGGAAGGATTATATGGATGGCGACTTCAACGGACGACAGGGCGTACCGGACAGCAGCACTCATCATGCCATGATTTGCAGTCGCTGCTGCGTTGAGAAGGGTGCCCATGGCGAAGTTGTCTGCCTAGGATGTCTATCCGACACATACACCGCGTAATGTCTCTATCGAAGAGCAGCAAGCAAGACCATATAAGAGCAAAAACAAGAGGCGGGCATCTTCCGTTTATGACTGATGACGATTTCGATTACTACATAGCGCACTGTTTCTTTGCAATCGGGAGTAGGGAATGGGAAGGTAACTACCTAGTTACCAGGGTATATCTGTATGGACAGGGAAGGCATCACATGGGCTGGGCTTTCATAATTAATTCTTCTCCTTCTTCTTTTTTCTTTTATATAATGAGCATTTGCTTTTATTTTATACCATTTTTGGCCGTGGATGGGTCATCAAGTACGCGATTGCGTATAGGACTGTCATTGAAGAATGGCGAGATGGGGCATGGACTTTGTTGAAATTCTCTACTAAGAAATAAATACAAGAGGATGAATTAGGTGCTACTAGATTGATTGGATAATATTTATATGCATAGCGTTCTTCAGGGACTCCTACCGAGATTTCTCATCACTACATGGATTCTTACATCCGCTTCTGCTTTCCCTCTCAATACGAGACTGCCAAGAGGGGGACAGAAAAACCGAGACCGAGAAGATTTCAAACACTCGTACGATAAATTAAATACTACCTAGTTCCAAAGGCTGGGGCGTAGCCTTCCTCTGACCTAGCTGTTGCAGCTTTACTGAACCTCTTGATAATAAATATAACCTCCTCCATACTACCTAGTTCTTCAAGTATCTACTATTGTATTTATTTTTCTCTAGTAACTACTACTATAATTATATATTTATAAAAACTGTTACTATAGTTACCCATTTAAATTGCTGGCTGAACAGGTACTCCCTTATAAAAGCACCACCGAATGAGCTGACTGAGTGTTGATATCGCTGAATATGCCTATGCACTTATTCATGTTGCGGTCTCGCTTTTTCTGACCTTCTCTTGGCTGCATACATTTCATGGTTACTTGACACATCTATGACCTCGTCTTACTTCCATACATAAATCTTAACATAATAGACATCCTAATCGAAGTCTTCTTTAGTCCAATACTCAGCATCGTTATCTTCACCGGTAGTCCTGGAATCATACAAGTCATCCTCTCGAGACTGCGAAAGGTAGCTCCTCCTTGGATTCACCTCAGTCCACGAATCAAGTATCCTATGTTCCTCCGCAGTCCAAGGGCTCGCTCCCTACTCAGGCTGCACCCCCATCCCCTGCGATTCAACAATCCGCTTCTGTGACGCCTCAAACACGAAGTTCCGCCGTCGACTCCTTTTAGAGGCGTATTTCTTGTACATGGCAGGTTAATATGCCACATCGCCAGCACAGTACCGCAGTATCTCGGCTGGTAACGGTCTCTTGTTGAAAGCGCTGTGCGAACCGCCCTTGTCCAGGTTCCATACACGGTCTCCTTGGTTCTTGCAAAGAGTCCATTCGGCTTTCTGCGTGTTGGTCAGGGGGATGAACTGCATGCCCTTGGCCAACCCGGAAAGCTTCCTCCGTTGCTCTGTTCTCGGCCGAGCAGCGCTGTCCATGAGTTGCAAGTCCCAGACACCGCGGAGACTCACCCCTTAATGAGCGAACAGTGCCTCCGAATCCCTCCTGACATCAAAGAAAGACCTTTGATATCTCTAGTGCTTCGAGTAAATTCTTTAGGCTCTTGCCGCACTCCCTGATGGCGCCAAAAGCGGCGCCGCCCAGTGTATAAATGTCGATGACGAAGATACGCTCAAGGCCTTCGCCGGGATAGACGAGCACTTTCATGAGAGAGACGCTCCCGTTTCGACCAAGCCGTTCTCCTCCGAGGTCGATGTAAACCAGGGGCTCAAAGTCTCTTATATCGACCCTTGATCCGGCCATGCAGAGGACAGGAAAACCGAGACTGAGAAGATAACGAACACTGACATTATACGCCTCTGCTTTTAAATATTTGATACTGTATCTATATTCTCTAGTAATTACTACTCTAGTTATATTTCTTTAGTAATTGCTAATACAGCCATATAGTAAAATTCATGTACTAACTAAGCAGGCGGTTCCCTACACAAGTACTACCTTATTTAATAAATACAAAAGGTGCCTAAATTGCTAAATATAATTGTATATTTTGCAATCTCGCTGCTTCTGACCTCTGCTTGCCAGCTTGCATTAGGAATGTCACTGGCAGCTAATGGAATGGTCCTACGCCACTCGATATATACAGGTACCAATGCTACCCCGTGGATTGGCTAGAGTTTCTAGATGGATCGATTTCCACTTTGAGCTTCATATAGAGGCACCTTAGTAGCTCTAGGTACTCCCGTACTCACACTCGTACATCCAGCCATGTGTAAAATACGACATAAATGCAGCTAAAATCATCACTCTTGGCACTTGATTACGAGGAAATCAATGCACGGTAAGATTTATATCATCTTATTTTGTAGAGTCGACATGCCAACTGCTCGTAAACGCCAATTTCTATTCCCCTTGGGGCGCATGATATTTGGGGACGTCCCCTGATATGCCCATATTTATTCATACACCAATAACATTAAGAAGCCTATTTAGTTGTATTGCATATACGTCGCTGTTGAGTTGAACTTGAGATTGCCCTTGATGACCTTGTCCACGGCGTCCAAGAAGTCCTTCTCCGAGGCAACCTTTCTCCGGGCTCGGATGGCAAACATGCCGGCTTCGGTGCACACACTCCTCAACTCGGCACCAGTAGCGTTGGGGCAGAGACGGGAAATGAGCTCCCATCGAATGTCTCGCTCAACTGACATGCTCTTGGCGTGGATTCGGAGGATGTTGGCGCGGCCCTCGAGATCGGGCAGCGAGAATTCAATCTTGCGGTCGATACGTCCGGGTCGCATCAGGGCGGGATCTAATGTGGATGGTCTGTTGGTGGCGAACATGACCTTGATATTTCCTCGGGCGTTGAAGCCATCCAGCTGAGTAATGAGCTCCAGCATGGTTCGCTGGACCTCGTTGTCACCACCGGCACCGTCGTCGAACCGAGCACCGCCGACGGCATCGATTTCGTCAAAGAAGATAATGCAGGCCTTCTTTGTCCGGGCCATCTCGAATAGCTCTCGAACCATTCTAGCACCCTCGCCGACGTACTTTTGAACAAGCTCGCTACCAATGACTCGGATAAAGGTGGCGTCTGTTCTGTTTGCAACAGCTCTGGCACAAAGCGTCTTTCCGGTTCCGGGAGGGCCGTAGAGCAATGCGCCCTTGGGAGGGTCGATACCGAGGTTTGAGAACCTCTCTGGGGAGAGCAGGGGCATCTCGACAACTTCTCGGAGCTTCTCAACCTGCTCTTTGCAGCCACCAACATCACCATACGTAACGTCTGGCTTCTCCTCGACCGTCATCATGGTCACGCTGGCATCGATCTTGGGCGGCAGCGGCAGCATGATCTGGTACTTGTTGCGGTCAACACCGACTCGCATGCCCTCCTCGATATCTGTAGGGCTGACTCGGTCGCCAAGCTGGACGACAAACTTGGCAATCTGCTTGACGTTGATAACGTACTTGCTCTTCGACTCGTCGCCCTTTTCGTCAGCAATAATCTTTGTGCAACGGGCCACCTGGAAGGGTTGCTCTTCAGACATTCGCTGTCGGTCGGCGGCCACATCCCATAGATGCGGCGGTGCGAGACCAGTATCGGACTCCTGTTTCAGCACATTAGACGGATGTAGATGCATTGCAGTTGCGCCGACTCATACCTTGATGCCAATCTTCTCATCTACGCTCTGTTGCTTTTCTTTGATTTGCTTCTCGAGCTTTGAGATGGTCGATGCATATGGGGCAGCGCCGTATGTCTTGAGAACTTGAATATCCCTGGCTTCGGGTTAGCATCCCCAACAGCTTCGAAACGGCACTTCGAACGAGGCGGCCCGTACTCATCGGTGAGGGGTGTGATCTTCTTCTCCTCTATTTCATCGTCGGCGAATTTCTTGGTGTACTTCTCCCAGTTTTGACCGGTCGCAGAAGGCTATGCATGACAGTTAGTAATGGCCAGTATTTATCTGGCCCAGACAAGTTGCCTTACCATGATGGGCTCTGCAGACTGGACGCAACGTCCGTAGAATGAGGGGATTTATGGCGTATAAAAGAATGAGTTTGAGGAATTGCGGGCTCGCTCAGAGTAGTTGCTTGGTCCGTTCGAGGAGGGAAGAATCGCTGGTCGTGATGCGCGTCTGCTATGATATGCTGGTGATGAAGGTCATGGAAGCATTCCGTAATCTGGAGTTGCCTTGAGCTTGCCGCATGGAGCCTGTCGCTCGGACCCTGCTGAGCTAATGCCAGCCAATTGAAGCAGGCGGGCAGGGGGAGCAGATGGAGGTACTAGTACCGCCGGAGCATGGATTATCTCTCGCGCCGACTCCAAAATTTCCGTTACCAATATGGCGGAGTAGGGCAGCCAAGGTGGGATGTCAACCAGGCTCCAGGAACCCGCGAACTTGCTTCTCAACAAAGCTCGCCGTGAACGTGGCTTTTCGGAGATTGGCTCTGCATCCCCCGAGACATAAACACAAGCCTCCAGAATGTCTGCACCGGCCGTTTCGGGCGGCGAGTCCAAGAATGTCGCCTTCAAGGTAAGGAGGAAAAAAAACCCAAAGCTAACACGCCTCTCGAGCTCCTGAGCTGCCCCGCTAACCCATGGACACAGGACAAGGAGAAGCCCATGGCGGTGCGCTCGTCCAACATTGTCGCTGCCAGAGGTGCGTATCCTCATTCGAAACACGGTGGTTCGATCTGCTAATACAAAATGTAGCCGTCGCCGATGCCATCCGAACGTCTCTCGGCCCTCGAGGCATGGACAAGATGATCCGCAGTGGAAAGGGGGAGACGATTATTACAAATGACGGAAACACCATGCTCAAGAGCATGTCTGTCATGCACCCGACGGCAAAGATGCTGGTCAACCTGTCAGGAGCCCAGGATGTCGAGGCTGGTGATGGCACAACCTCCGTTGTTGTCATCTGCGGCAGCCTTCTCGGCGCCGCTGACCGACTGCTGTCCAAAGGCATCCACCCCTCCGTCATTTCAGAGTCCTTCCAGAGAGCGTCCGCCGCGGCCGTCGAAGTCCTACACGACATGTCCCAGCCCATCTCCCTGACCGACAACGCCTCCCTCCTCCAGGCTGCCAACACCTCTCTATCCTCCAAGATTGTGTCTCAGTACTCGAACCTTCTCGGCCCCATGGCTGTCAATGCCATCACCAAGACCATCGATGTTAAGACTGCGGAGAACGTGGACCTCAACAACATCCGCATGATTAAGAGAGTGGGAGGAACAATTGAGGACAGCGAGCTGGTGGATGGCCTCGTTCTTACACAACCCGTGCTGAAGAATGCTGGTGGTCCCATCAGGATGGAGAAGGCCCGTATTGGTCTTATCCAGTTCCAGCTCAGTCCTCCCAAGCCTGACGTAAGTCTGGGTGCCAGTCAACAGCTTCAAATTGTATACCTGTGCTAACTTGCCGCAAAGATGGAAAACACGATCCAGGTCAACGATTACCGCCAGATGGACAAGATTGTCAAGGAGGAGCGATTATATCTTTTGAACATGGCCAAGAAGATCAAGAAGGCTAAGTGCAATGTGCTATTGATCCAAAAGTCCATCCTTCGCGACGCCGTCAACGACCTTTCCCTACACTTCCTGGCCAAGCTCGGCATCATGGCTATCAAAGACATCGAGCGAGACGAAGTCGAGTTCATCTGCAAGTCCACTGGCTGCAAGCCCGTTGCGGACATTGACTCGTTCACCGAGGATAAGCTGGGCTCGGCCGATCTTGTGGAGGAGGTTCAGTCATCGGGATCACGCATGGTCAAGGTTACCGGAGCCAAGGCCACCGGCAAGACTGTGACCGTTGTTGTTCGCGGTGCCAACTCTCTCATCCTGGAGGAAGCCGAGCGAAGTTTGCACGACGCCCTCTGCGTTCTCCGATGTCTGGTGAAGAAGAAGGCCCTGATTGCCGGTGGTGGTGCCCCCGAAATCGAGATTGCCGCTCAGCTGTCCAAGCAGGCGCGCAGCCTGACAGGCACAGAGGCCATCTGCTGGAAGGCCTTTGCGGATGCCATGGAGGTCATCCCCACAACCCTTGCCGAGAACGCTGGTCTGAACAGCATCAAGGTTGTTACCGACCTGAGGCACCGACACGAGATGGGAGAGAAGAACGCCGGTGTCAGCATCAAATCTGGAGGAGTCAACACCAACATCTCCAAGGAGAACGTCCTGCAGCCCCTTTTGGTCAGCACAAGCGCCATTGAGCTGGCGGCCGAGACGGTGAAGATGATTTTGAGAATAGACGACATTGCTTTGTCAAGGTAGATAAAATTTCAGCCTTCTAGTGGGATTGCTGTATGATGTAATATCTAAAATTTAAAAGAAGCAAAACTTGATCTTGGCTCGCCTCTTGTGTTTGTTTGTTTGTTTGTTTGTTTGTTTGTTTGTTTGTTTTAAAGATAAAAAGGTACCTTGTCTCTACTACCTGATTCCACGTACCTCTCGGATGCCTCAAGGTTGATGCCTGGGGCCGAATGCGCTTCCAAGGTTGGCTCCTTCCCAAGGTTTCGACTGTGCGCTTTTCTCTTGTTTCACCAAAAGTTACATCTCTTCCTCATTTCACCAAGAATTACATTTCGTCCTCGGTTAATGCAGTGTCTCTCCATCCCTCGCCTCATTGATAAACATATTTCACGAAAAGGATTCTCATGCTCTCCAAAAGGGGCAGTTGACAATCATGGCCAGAAGAACAAGTACTCGGTCCCGCTCCAACGATTCTTCCGATCCGGGAGACGCTGCGTTGGAAGTGCACCAACAGATCTACAAGGCCTGTCTATCTAGACACCCTCTCTCTTTCAGGCTAAGAAGAGTAAAGGCTGACACAAAGCAGCTCAAGAAGGAACGAGATGAGAGCAGCAGAGCTGTGAGCGAAAAATACGGTGTTGCCTTGGTAGAGATTCAAGCAAGGGCTGGTGCCTGGCTTGAGGACTTACAGCGTCGACGGTAATGAATTACTTGACCCTTTTTGCAAGCATAGACTGATGATTGTATAGAACGGAAAGAATGTTGCAATGTCTCACGGAAATTATCGATTTGACCGAGCGCAGGGAGGCGATTGAAGTCAAGATGGCCGACGTAGTGGCCAAAGCAGATGTAAAGGTGGAAGAACTGGAGGGTATGATGATGGCAGGGTATGCAGGAAGAGAGAAAGATGCAGCTGCAGCCCTGGAAAAGGTGGCATGTCACCAGCGTGGGAGTCAAGTCTAGCTCATGTCCAACCAACTATCCAAAGTTGCGTCACCATACGGTTCATGATTGGCCCTCGCGTCATCAGAGGATGGAATCGTTCATGTAGAATGGAGAATAATGGAGCGCCGTACTTTTCCGAGTAGTCTATATGGTGATAATGTACACAGGCATAGCGCCGGGATGAAGTTGTTTTGATTTAAACCGTGAATCCAAAGCCCTGCATGCAGCTCTTGTATTGGTCAACGAGCGATCTGCAGTCGGCGGCGGGATCCTTGGCCGTTGAGAAGAGCATGCACTCATCGCGCTTCGACTTTTCATCTTTGCATACGCAGCACGGCTGTTTCACGGTCAGTACAAGCAAAAGCACAAGCACAAACACAGGGGCGTCTCGTATGTTTTGCGACAAACTGACCTTGGGCTTGGAAGCGCTCACGGAGGCTGCGGGAGAAGCAACTGGCGCAGCGGCCATGGCTATGATACATATATCAGACGACGATTAGCTTCTGCGCAAGATGCGGCCCTGCAGAGAAATTGGGGGGGCAATTGACATACAGAAAGTGGCAGGCTTGGCGTCCATGTTGCTTGATCTTGTAGCGCAATGGATTGTGTATTTGGCGAATGGGTTGGTTTAGAGATGTATGCGTTGAATCATGCTTCTGTTATATGTTTTTTTTTTGTACGATGGCGATGCTATTGAGAATAGTCACGCCAGTTTCGCTGGTGCATTTCTAAGCAGCGGATCTGGCCAATCATGGTGCAGGAGTCTCACGTGCGGGCGTGGGAACTTTGTGATTTTGAGCACATTTCCGCTGACGTCATCAAGGTAGCTCAGTATTTCTACTGGTATGAGATATCGAGCATATCGTTTATCTCGTATATCTCGTCCAGGGTCAGGGATACTTATACAGTAAATACCCTTCTCATGCTTTCTAAACCATGACACACATTAAAACTTGATCAAATACAGCAACTGAGGCTACCTGACCAGTTGCAGCACAGCCCGTTAACTCCGGTACGCTGGCCGGGAGATTCCGGTCCCCACCCCGGCGCTGAACCCCTGCATCGATGCACCGTCGTTCGGGCCCGAATTCTCGCTCGGGCTTCACTCGTTTGGGGACAATGGCCGACTTTTACGGAGGTGAGAGCCGAGATTGGCCCTGAGAGTGCGAGGTTTCGTGCCTGGTTTGGGGGCCTGGCTTGAGATATTTTCTTATGTCTGTGCCGTCCAGTTACATTGCCGTCTTATCATCCCGTATTAGCCGTCTTGTCTTCCCCCCTAGTTGGGAATTCGGCATTGGACCTGGCATTCGCAATCAGTTTTCCACGAATGAGAAGCTGGGGCTGGGAGCTGAGAGGAGACAAAGTCATCATATAACTGCTGCTGTAGCTGCTCGGTGTTGCCAGTTGTCCTCAGCATCAGACCTTTTCAGTAGTCAAATATAGACTCTACATACCCAGACAAGATGCTTACGATTGAAGAGATTCGCGCTCTCAGCGATGTTAGTCCTGAGTTTGAGCCGGTAAGCTGTCACTCTCACCCCCCTTTAAATGGTGATATCCATGTGATTCGATAAGAAAATAATATGAAACATCATCACGTCAGATCCTCAACTCAGGGTCCCCCATTTTAGCCGCTTGGGATGAAAACACCAACATCCCTCAAGTTCGGGCAATGATCCAATCCATGAAAGATGCAGCTCCCAAAGTCGACCCGACCACACTTCCATACCTCCAAGAGGACATTCAGATCCCAGTGCGAGACAACCGCACCACCGAGATCCGCGTTTACAAGCCGCGAGAGGAGTCGACTGAGGGACGGCCGGGACTCGTTGTCTTCCACGGCGGAGGATATGCGGTTGGAGATCTAGACACGGAGACTTGGCTCTGTGCGCTGTTTGCGAAGCTTGGTGGTGTTGCGGTGAATGTCAATTATAGGCATGCTCCTGAGAATGTCTTTCCTTCTGCTATAGAAGATGCCTATGACGCTACTAAATGGGTGAGGAAGGCCATTTAATCTGCAATGATGGCAGTGGGCAGTTTGCTAACGATGTTTTCCTTTTTCCATCCATCAGACGGCGCAGAATTTGGAGTCGTTGGGTATCCATCCTGAAAAGGGGTTTCTGGTAGGAGGAGAAAGCTCAGGTGGCGATATGGCGTTGATCGTGGCTCATCTCTGCTTGAACGACAAGTTGAGTCCTTCACTAACTGGCATCTACGCGGCAATACCAGGTGGTGTAAATCACGAAACGGTACCGGAGAAGTACAAGGATCGATTCATCAGCTTTGAGCAAAACGCCAGTGCGCCAGTGCTTTCTCTTGAGTCGTTGAAGTTCATCTGGAGTAAGTTCCTACGGAGGGAAGGCGTCATGTCAAGAAACTGACTAGCTGATGAATTCTTGTGTTGCAGAGAATAATCAGGCTGATTTACGCAGCCCGCTTGTATTCCCAGTGGCATTCCCTACCCACAGGGGCCTTCCCAAGACGTATTTCCAGGTGTGCGGGCTGGATCCCGTGCGAGACTGCGCGTTGGTGATGGAGCAGGTATTCAAGGATGATGGAGTTGTTACTAAGACGGACATGTATCCTGGCGTGCCTCATGGGTTTTGGGGATTCTTCCCGGATCTGAAGATGAGTGCAAAGCAGCAACGAGATGCGGAAGAGGGACTCAAGTGGCTATTGAGTAAATGATGTGCCGATGAGCGTTTGTTGCGGACCATCTCCATTCAGTCATTAGCGTTTTATGATTAACGGGTATTACACCATTGTTTGTAAGGGGAGTAGCTATTCAGCAGCGTTGGGTTTGAGCATCAAGACCAGATGTAAAAGAAAACTGTTGATTTACTGCTACAAGTATTTACATGAATAAATACTACATCATACCTAAACACCTAGTTTCAGCATCCACCATCACTGTTACTTTCATTTTTAAAGATACTGATGTAGATACCAAGGGCATAATGTCTTGAGTCTACAACTCATTCACCATCAATCCAAGCAAAGCCATCGACAGTTCGCTATGCGCCTCCACAAGCGCGCAGAACTTGTCGCTCTTCCATAACTTGTCAATCTTACAAGCCGCGTACAGAGTGACGAGATTTCTCAATGGTTCCGGAGCCAGATTCTCATAGCAGTATTCCACCAGCGTGACTACATCATCGACCCTCTCTTGATGCACCGTAAAATTCTCCAGCGTCCAATGCAGCCCGTTGAGAGAGTGCGTCATTAGCGCTGCAATACCATAGCACTCTGCAAAAATAAACAGTCGCACGTGTGAGAGAAAGGTATTTGTATAATCTTCATTCGCGAGATTGTTTTCGGCGCCAGTGGGACGGACGAAGCCAGCAGAAACAGGGGCAGAGGAGCGTTGTTTCAGAAACGCAACCCACAGAGCCTTGCGTTTTAGCTCTTCTGGTGTCGGAATCCTGGGAGGGCGCCGAGAATCGAACAAGGCCGGAATCGGTGGTTGTATTGGTGGTGGTGGCGGTTCAGGAATGGCTTCGGACTTTGACTCGATTTCGACGATGAGAGGGGGAGCAGCGGTGTAGCTCCCCATGTAGGTGTATTGCCAGAATCTGATGAAGGTATCTTCGTCCACAGATGTCCATTTGACACATTTCTCAGTGGCCTCGGCGAAGCTTCCGTTTGCCAATCTCTCGAGGACGGGAGACTGGTACGTAAAGAGGGCAGAATGTATGGTGAATTCTCGCTCATTGGGCCCAACAAGGAATCGGAACGGAACAGAAGAGGCAATGCTGGGGGGTCATCTTTAGCACATCTTGTTCAGTTGATGGATTGCTTCAACTTGCACGTCTGGTGGGATGGAGTTCATCGTCTGTATATATGGTGTATGATGGTGAATATAGCCTCAACCACATTCTATGATCTAGTCCCGACGGAGGCGCTCTCTGCTAATCTTTCTCCATGGACGTCGACTGCATGCTGACTGAAATGTTACCCCGCAACTTGAATAACAGCATCTGGTCTTGATATTTTTTTTTTTGTTGGCGGCAAAAACAAAATTCCGGAAGCACTTCCATTTGATGGAATTGTAACACAGACCTGAGTTTCTTACATGTGTCATGTATGCAGGGGTTGTACTACAGCTCAGCTGGCTACTAACACTGCACGCTGCAGTATGTCAACTACCAGATCGGGCACTACAAGTAATAAGAAACGTCTTTAGTGTTATTGAAAGTTAAATGTCCCGGTCCGGTCTTGGGTAGCAATCGATGCCGTGCTGTAAGCAAAAGCTGCCAAGATTCTAATAAGCTCCAGCATCTCTCTGCAACACTTGCCACCCATGATTTGTATTAGCGTAACCACTGTCCCAACTTCACATGTCAAAACCTGTCATTCAATTCAATCTACACTTCAACATGATGTCAAGAAATCAATCTCTTCCATCTCCCTTTGTTTCTTTCAGGCACCAGCTCAGCCGCACGTTCCCAATCGGCATCTCCAACCGCCGACCCCCGGAAGCCTCGCCCGTCAAAATCGCCGCCCAATTTCGCCACGCACACCGAACGCGTGTCAGTGTCCACGCCTGACGATCCAGTTCCTCGTCACACCATCTTTTTTTGCCTTGTTTCCCCAAAACCTTCACAGAGCTATTGCTTACCTGGGTACTAGTAGCTATTGTTGGGGGTTTGAATTAGTTAGTTTTCAATTGCTTTGCCTTGTAAATTGTCAAGGTTTCGCACTGTTTGCGCACGCACACACGTAGACTTGATTCGCCGCTTCGTCGAGTGTCGATGCGGTTCGATGAGTTGGCTGAACGACTGCCTAGAGCAAGTTGACATGTGAAATGCAATCAAGGTTACGCGTACGTTGGCCTATGATGTGATTATAAAGAGGCGTGATCATGACACACTTTCTCCCTTTATTCTTCTTCTTCATCAACGACAAATATCCCTTCACTGTTACAACTCTACCACATACCTAGGTAGTATACTTGACAACCTGAGAACAAGACATCCATCACCACCATCATGCCTCCCCACCACAATCCCTTCTGGGACTTTATGCAGTCCCTCAACACCCCCAACCCAAACAACCGCCGCGATCCCGGCCACGGCGTCGATCACAACACTTCACCCCCCTTCCCCGGCTTCCCCGGCTTCCCCTTCGGAGCTCCTCCTCCACACGGCGGACACCCGCCTCACCACCCGCATCCGCCTCCGCCTCCACCTCCCGGAGCCGGCCCCCCCTGGTGGGATCAAGCTCCCCCGGCCTGGGCTTACTGGTTCAACAGCTTCAACGGCCCGCCTCGCTACGACGAGCATCCGTTCTCCCACGATGCCGGCGTGAATGCCCCCCGAGACGCCGGTGAAGCCCCTCGTGAAAAGACCAACGAAGCATCTTCCCCCGAGACCATGCAAGACGGCGAGCAATTCCCCGACCCGGCCGAAGTCACCCCCTCGGGAAGTGACGACGACGACGACGACCGTCGTGACGCCGTCCCTCCCCCTTCCTATCCCGCCGAGGGCGGCCGAGGCGGACGACACGGACGAGGTCGTGGAGGCCGCGGCCGCGGCCGCTGCGGAGGCCGTCGCGCATGGCGCAGAGCCGGAGGCATCCCCTTTGAACCTCCCAACGCCGGCCCTCCCTTTGACTTCCCCGGCATGATGCGCGGCTTCATGGGCCACCCATTCTTCCGCACCATCCGCGACCAAGCCGAGCGCTACGCCCAGCCCGCCAACGCCAACGCCAACGCCAACGCCGACGACGAAAACACCTTCTCCCCTCCCATCGACATCTTCAACACCCCCGACGCATTCATCCTGCACACCGCCCTACCCGGCGCGAACAAGGACGACGTCAGCGTGTCCTGGAACCCGCAGACGCGCTCGCTCCGCATCGCGGGCGTTGTGCACCGCCCTGGCGACGAGGCGTTTCTGCAGACGCTGACGGCCGTGCGGGAGCGTAGAGTCGGTGTTTTTGAGAGGGAGGTGAGATTGCCTCCCGAGGGCGAGACTGAGAAGAAGGGTCATGGCGAGGAGGCGGATCTGGAAGTCGATGTTGATGGATTTGGCATCACGGCGAGGATGGACGAGGGTATCTTGATTGTGACGGTGCCCAAGGTGGAAAAGGAGTGGATGGAGGTGAGAAAGGTGGATATTGCTTAGCCGGTGAATGGCATTCAGGAGTTCTGTATGAGTATAGCATCATCGTTTTGGTTTTTGGTTAATATTGGGTTATAATACTGAGTAAAGTAAATCAATGGGGAAAAAAAAAAGTCAACTCCTTCTTCATCTACAATCACATTTAAGTCACACACAAGCACGCACCGTGATAGCCAATCTATTCATCTTCTCTCTTAGTAGCTACCTCCTATCCGTCCACCTCCGTATCGAAAATATCCATTCTGCGCCTGCGCCTGCGCTCGCGCCACGGGGGGGTATATATGTTGACATATAGTTGAGTAGGCGCGTCGCACCACTTGTTCAATTTCCATCCCACTGTACAGCATTCTGTTGTTCTTGTTGCTCTTATTGTTGTTGTTGTTGTTGTTGTTGTTGTTGTTGTTGTTGTTGTTTTCCTCCCCCGACCCAAGACCAAATAGTAAAGAAAAAAAAGGTGTAGTTGACTGATAATTCACAGAGAAGGGAAGACGTCTGTTTGGGTCAAGTAAAAAAGACAAAAGTGTAGTGATAAGACAAGAGGAGTGAAAAGGGGGGGATATAATAGGGAATTAAGGTTAGGATGAAAAGAGAAAAGGAAAATGTTCCTGTTTGTAATGTAGCGTCAATCTTTGTCTCAGTAAGAGAGAAAACCGGTCCCCTCTTCGCCTCGATGTATTTTGCGTGTGTATTCCTGAAAGAATCAATATCAATCCAAAAAAAAAAAAAAAGAGAAATAGTAAAAGAAAGGGGCCTGAAAAATGTAGAGCCAAAAAAGGAGATGGCCGTGTCCTTCGAAAGAAGATATTAAAAAGAAACAGAAAAAGAAGAACTCCAGCCAAAATGTCTTTTTTATGGCAGCGTGAATTCGTCATGGAGCGAAAAGGCCATCTTTCTGCTGTAGTAACATATGTGTATGAGTAGATGCACGTATTAAAACAGGTATTAAAACAGTAATAGAAGTGTGGGGAAAAAAATCAGGAACAGAAGTAGACAAAAAGCAAGTACTAAGGGTTCTTAGACCAACTCGTTTGTGATTTCTTCCCTCACATGGGCACACCACTTGAGGATGGCCGCTTCGAAATCTAGCCAGACTTGGGGGCCGTTGTTGTAGACGATGCCCAGGGGGTCGATGGAAATCATGCACTCAAAGCGCAGCTCAGCGGCCTTGGCCCAGTAACGGAGGTTGTCGGCGCTTCGGTACGGCTTCTGTGTGTCGACGTGGAAGGTCGGGATCGCTCCGAATCGCCGCCTGGATTTCTTGACTGCGGCGTTGTGCAGCCTCACAAGTAGAAGGCCGTTCTGCATGGCATCCAAAAAGGGCGTCGGCAGATCGGCGTCGTTGGATGCTGGCGTCCATTCGGGAAGCGGCTCGTCGTCCGGAACCATGGACATGAGAAACTGTCGCTCGCGCTCCAACTCCTTGCCTTTCCAGTCGCCCCTCATCCACGCCCAGCTCTGTCGCTCGGCCTGCTCTGATGCCTCGATGTTGGCTTCCTTCTTGAGGATGTCAAAGACGCTTTCGATCCAGGTCGTCATGGTGGCAATCTCTTCATCGCGCATGCCCCCCTTGAAGTTCCTCGTGGCCATCTGCTTCAGCACCTCCATGACGCTCAAAAGGTCTGTCCGGATCTGCCTTTCCGACTTGATGGCATCCAGCCGGTCAGGCAGCTCGTGGGCGGTGTAGTAGTTTTTGGCGGCGCGGATGGCCAGCGTCACAAAGTCGAGGATGTTCATGCCCTGCAGCTCGTACCAGCTTTGGGTGTTTTCGTCGGGCATGTTGGGGTACCGAGGCGCATCGCTGGATGCCTTGTATGATCCCTCCTTCCGCTCCTTGGCTTCCTTGAGGACCTTGAGGGCATCTTGCAGGGCGCTCTCCAGCTCCGTCTTCAGCTCCGCAACCGTGGGAGGCTTGGGAATGACTTTCTCTCGGTGGTTGTAGGTGCTAGCCGTGGGTGGGAGCATGTCCGGGTCCTCCTCGGGGAAGCCATCGTAGAAGTCGTCCATGTCGTCCATGCCGGTGGGAGACTCGACGGTGTTATCCGTGATAAACCCATGTCCTGACAGATCTGGGCTGCTGCCCATGGAGACAAACGAGGGGTCCATGTCGAAGCCAGCAGTCGTGGGCGTGGGCACCATCATGGGCGCTGTGCCCTCTAGGGCTGCCAAGTCCAACGTCGCCCGCGGCTGCTTCTTACGAGCCAGCTGCCCGCCCTTGCCATCGAGAAGGCCTGTCCGGGCAAAGTAGTATTGAAGATGCGCGATGCTGCCCAAGCTCATGACGCTCTCGCGGGATTTGGCGCTGGCCGCAAAGTCGGTGCCATGGGGACGCATGTAGCCTCGGCGCCGAGTCCTGGAAGATGACCTTCCAGAGAGGCTGGACTGGTACGACGCCGTGGACATGCGGGACGATGCAGAGGACATGCGAGACGACAGCTCGCTGCCCAGCGAGTCTCGTGAGGTGGCATCGTTGCTGGAGCTTTGGGAGATGGTGGAAGTCGTCGAGAGCGTTCGGGAGGGTTGGGTCTTTGCACCAATGGCTTGCGACGGAGCGGCATCGGGCGAGTGCGGGCGGTTCTCGACTTCGGCAGACATGGCGAATGAGGCAGAGAGGTAAAAGAGCAACACAGAGAAGCAGAGTTTTCTTGCGAGGGCTCAAGCAGAGAATCTCGTCTGGGGATTTCCTCGTGTGCTCTCTCTCAAGAGGGGGAGCGAATCCTGTCTCTTTGCGGTTGTCGTGGGAAGGAGAGTCGGTTCACTGGATCCCAGGGCCAGCTCAGCTATTCAGCTCGGCCAAGTCGAGTCGCGTGCACCACGGACGAGGGGGGGGGATATAACAACAAGTTGAGTGGCAGCAGAGTCGCTAGCTGCCGGCCACCATGAACAAGCAGTCGGGAATGGCGTGGTGGATACTTGGGACTGACAGGACAAGCACAATTACAAGCAAGTATGGAAGAGACAAGAAAATCACGGAACCAGACGGTAGGGCTGCTCTGGGTTGGTGCTGGAGATCCGAGGCGCACGCGGACTCAGGGGTTCTGGCAGCCTGAGGGCGCCAAACATAGTTGGCGGGAGGCGTGGAGATGGGAAATTGCGTTGCGTGTTTTGGTGTTGTCCGGGGGGCAACGACTTGAAACGAACCTTTTTTTTTTCTGGTGTCGGGTGCGCTTTTTGGCGTGCATTGGTTCACGCATGCTGTCAACCGATGATCAAGGCTTATTTGTACATTAATTAGTGCATTGGAAGGTAGCATTAGGTGCTCCGTCCATCTCCGCCGAGAGTGCTTGGACCCCAACTGCTGGTCTCGTCGAGTCCGAAGGGCCACCTGGCGATGTTTGCCTCTTGCTGCTGACTGACTGACTGACTGACTGGAGTGCTTGGAATAGCCTCACCCACTGGTGGTGCCGCAGTCCGCCTGTGCGGCCTTTGGTGCTCCATCCATTGTCACGGCGGCAAATGCAAATGCAAATGCAAATACAGCAGGTATGATATCACTCGACGTCTTCGTACTCGCAGCCGTCGATTCGACCACGGTCCCTCATGGGAGCTGCCAGGTCCCCTTCCCTGCTAGCCCGCATGCATGCAGAGGCTGTCGGGGCCAATTCGACCAGGCAAGCCCATGCACAAGGTGACGAATCATTTCTGTCGCTGTCATCGCGATTCCCAAGGGTCCTTGCTGCTTGGTGTCATATCCCAGGGCAACCAGAGGCGCGCAATTTCCTGTCCGCAGAGCCAGAGCCTGCTGGAATACTGTGCAAAGGAACACGAGCAGCGCACAGAGCAGTGCACGGAGTACGGAGCAGGAGGGAGCGGTTGCTCTCGATACAGGCAAAGCTGTGATTGTTCTGGATAGATTGCATGGATGGATGTGGTTGTGCAGAGCCCAGAGCTGTGTTGGGGCAAGGTTTCAGACTGTACGCCACGTTCCGTGTCGGTCATGATTGATTGCTGATGCCCGACAGCTGACTGCACAGTACAGTCCCTTGGCCATCTGCAAATTGCATGGATGGATCACCCCAAGTATGAGAGATTGCAAAGTACCTGCTAACCCATGGCAAGGTACTGTACCTGCTCGTATGTACTCCGTACAGCCAGGTAATACCTAATTGCTTCGTATCAATACAAGGGAATGCGATAATTGCATCATAAGGCAAGGGTAACAGGTCCGTACGGCTGCGTGCTATAATAAGATTGAAGCCCTCCATCTTGTGCAAGTACTCGTACAACACGGTAGCTCTGAATGACGGATATGTCAAGACTGATTGGGCATCTGCCCTCCTTCAGTTACCTGTACTACCAGAGGTACCAGACATGTACATGCGGAGTGGCCATAGATGAATACAGTAGCTCCTGTTCGTAGCGCGGGCCGTCGCGTCGCATCGTTCGTCGTAGCTCTTGTCGACGCCCAATCTTTGGTCAGTCACTCGAATGGACCCAGGTGGCACGGCTAGGCAAATTGCCTCTATCAATACCTCGAGACTAGCGGAAGCTACCAATAACTGCTAGTACGAGTACTTCTGCTTGGTTGGAGCTCGGTAAAGAAACACGACGGACGGCTAAAAGGTACCCGACCAGTACGAATGCAGCACTGACATCAAAGAGCACAAGTACCGAGGAGGAACCCTGAACCCCATCTAGGCCAGCATCCCGCTAGCTTGGCCGAATCCCAACACTCCAGGTCCAGTCTTGCTGCACGTAATGTACCAGCACGGACATACCCATGGAGGCCTTTTCCACGCTACTCGCACAAGCCCTCGTGACCAGACAGGGGAGAAAGACAGAGAAAATGGCAGAAAATCGCTGACGGCACAGGCATCGGACGGGTAACTAATGTTGCCAGGTTGGTGATGCAGAAAATGGCTGCAGGACGCCCTGGTGGAGGCGGGCCGAGCAAGCATGGAGCCCGTGGAGATTTCGCAGCGTTTCACCTTGTTTGAAGCTGCCAGAAGCGGGATGCCTGTGGAAGCGCTGTGGAAGCTCCCGTGTCAGCGGTGGGGATGCGCTAATTAGCCCGACATGGCTCTAATGCTAGCGCGCTCGACGCTGCATGTGCTGAAGCTCCAGCTCCTTGGGGGGTTGCGGCAGTGGTGGCATTAGTGCGCTGAGCTCCCCAAAACGAACAATGGCCCCGAACAATATGCTATCGAGTCGACAGCAGGGCATCTGGCCTGTTCCCCATTTGATCAATCCCGTCACCAAATCAAGTCGAGCCGAGTCGAGTCAAGTGCAGGTGTTGTCACATTTGATCCGGTCAATGCCCTGTGCTGTGTGCTGTGCCGCGCTGTGCTGTGCTACTAATTTGATGTTACAGTAGCCGCGCTCATCAAGGGCACATCAGCGTTGGACCTGCTGCATTCCGGCACATGTCAAAACGTGTCATCCACCGAGTACTACATCTATCTGCGAATTCGGATCCGAGTCAGGCACACGTGTAAATCAGACTTGCATGCCAACCACTCGATGTAACAACCTCCCTCTAGTAAACATCTCCGTCCGCAGGAATTTGATCTTTACCACCAATGGAAGCTACAGGCTCCTACTAAGGTAGCTGCTCCAAAGTCAATTCTCAAATACCAGACACTTTGATGAGCTTGGGTACTAATTTGTGGCCAGGGACAGGTACCCGTCCCAACATCACTTGTACATGTACCTTGGACATGGATGCTCTGGGCCCGTCCACTCGTAAGGCGTACAGTGAGCATCTTTCGCCAGGATCCAATCTATCGAGCCCACGAATTCCCGTCTTTCTCTATTTCATCTTTCCTTTTTTTTATCCCATTTTGATAGCCGCCTCCCCTTGTCTAGTCGTTTATCCATCGACAAATGCGCAAGCTCGGCCGGCGGATCGAGACCAAAAAAAGCCCAAACGTCCAGAATATAGTACGCGTAGGGAGTACGAGTACCTGCAAAGGGAGATGAGGTACCTGCGCCGTAGCCATTCGACTCCCTCTTAGCTCAGGAACGAGCAGCTCCCGTTAATTAACTTGGGCTGCGATCCCACGCTTCTGCGCTTCCTCCTCTTGCACCCCTCCTGACCAGTCTGTCCCTTTCCTGCAACCCCCTTTTTTTTTCTCTCTCGATTCACCACGTCAAGTCAATCAAGCAATCAGTTCATGCATCGTTTGGCCAATCCCCCATTCTGGGCTTCGTGTTCACCGTAGCCGCTTCTCTCTTATCACCAGTTTTCTAGCAGTCTCGTCTTTGCTTGCGCTCTGCATCTTCCACCTTGCCCAGCCTGGGAGACTCGCACAACCCCGGCACACGGGCCTTACTTGATTCAGCCAGCTGATGCCCAAGGCCCATCACGAGCATTCTCCCAGGAGTTCAAGTTCACCATCAGAAAGTATCGATACTCGAACGCCAGGCACCAAGGTTCGGTTCTGTTCCTGGTTCGGCGCGCAGGCAGACACCAAACTAAGGCGACGGCCCAGCTTTATCCAGGCTTCGCTGCAGTCGAGAGGCGTCTCCTGCAAGCTCCTGCAGCTTCTTTGCAGGGCCGCAAGGGCGCTCTCCACCAGCACCGCATCGTCTACGCATAGAATCCCCTCTCTCGCCCAGTCACCAGACGCCTAACCCGGTCGACGCCGCCAAAAAGCTGGGTCTTGGAGCAGCACACCGGAGCAGGCATCCAGCGAACCGAACCCTACTGCGCATCCCGCCCACACCCGCCCACTCGCCGAGAACGAGGTCCTGTACGAGTGCTCGTACCTGTATTCGGACAGGTAGCAGCAAAGCGGCACCGTCGGGATTTTTTTTCTAAAGCGGCGAGTCGTTGTTGATTGGACCGTCGCGAGGGAGAGAAAAAAAATTCCAGGCCAGAGTCGGACGGCAACACGACAGGACAACAACGGCAGCGTATCAGCACTCGACGCTTCGCGGTGGCGGCCTCGGCATCCAATCTGCCGCCGTCGTCCACCCCTACAAACCACCGACAGTGCTCAACATTTGAGTGTCATCAACAATCTTCAGCCATCAGCACCGACCTTGCAGGCTCTCTCCACCCACTGCGCCGCTGCACTGCCGGCAGGGCCTTTCAGGGCCTTCGTCCACTGGAAAGACGCCTGGCGCGCTCCACTAGCGCGTCGTGAGCAACGCCGCTCTGAACACCTACCGACTCCTCCAACCTTCTCTGGGGCGGGCTTGTCTGCAGCCCCAGCAATCACCTGCGGCATATGACCACCAGCCATTCTGCTGCCGTGGACGCCAGCGGCAACCCACAGCCGGCCTCGCAGCCAGACCGCGACTCAGATTCAGCCAACGAAAGCTCCAGAGAATCCGACGTGGGTGTGGACCCGAAGCGCGACCCTGAGCAGCATACCAACGGCCATGATGCAAGCCTCGAGCATGTAAACTTTGGAAAAACAACCGACGACGCCGCCCAGTCGCCCGCCACCCCCTACGCAGCTCCCGCTTGGGCTTCCACTCCCGCCTCAGCTCCAGTTTCTGCTCCGGTTCCTGCTTCGGCTGCGGCCACTCCAACCGCTGCGTCTGTCGCGGCCACGCCCGCAGACGCCAGAGGAATTGCGAACCTGTCGACACCGCGGACGAGTGGCAGCACCAACGACATCAGCAACACCCCAGGCTACAGCCAACAC